AATCGCTTAGTTAATAAGATATATATATTGGGAGTCAAAGGGTTAATAATGGACAAACCTTGGCTGATGTTTCAATTAATGGAATATTGACCTCGGCTGAATTGCAGTATTCCAGCACTTCATCCTTGTTAACTTCACGTTCACCGTCTAAATCCTGTAACAGCGAAGAAGAAAATCAATTTGCTGCAAATTATAAACCTTGAACAGGACATTTCATCATATCTCAGTCTTTAACTCATAGTACTGACCTTGTAACTGGTTAGTAAGAGTTATATATGGTACCACTTGTGTCAAATGAATCAAACACAAGAAAACTGCCAACACCTAGGAAAGATCTCCATGTTACAATGAGCAAAGTGCTAAGAAAAAGGGAAAAATTGCACATGCTGCCCTTGATTCCTTGGTTTGTAGAATATTAGTTACAAAACCACATTTTTCCCCATTGATTTAATCAAAACAAGCATTCTTTGTGCTTGCATCATAAATCAAAGAGGATAAAACTATGCCCATAACTTACAGTGCCCACAGTGCAATCTGTCAGTTAGAAGCAAATGGCATACATCCAACTCCAGTGATCTCTTTTTTTCAGGTGGTAACTGGTAATACTTTCCTTGTAACACCTTTTACTACCACCTAAAATCTCTTGGAATAGGCCATTTTACAGTTGTGTACTTAGTTGCCAAGCCTTTGATTCAGAGTGAGGCTGAAGGTGACCTTGTTGCAATAGAGACCTGTATCTACTTAGCATGATAGCAAAGTGATTTACATTTGAAAGGCAGCAAGGTTTGTATCATAACAAGGTCATCCCTAGCCTCACTCCCATTCAAAGGCTTGGCAACCAAGCACACAACTGTAAAATGGACTATTCTTGAAAATTGAACAAGTTTAAGGTTTGCTCTACTGGTTTCAGAGATTTACTTCTTGTGCTTAAAATAAAGGAGAACACTGTAACTCACCAACTTATTGGCCACCAAGACCATGGGTATAGTGGAACTCAATTGCCTATCCTGAATGATCTTGCTTCTTAAATCCTTGAGTTCATGCCAACTTGAGGTGGAATTTATGGCAAATAGTACCAGGAATGCATCCCCAGTTGCAACCGATGAATCACGGAAAGAACTAAACTCTTCTTGACCTGCAGTGTCTACTATCTCCACATCATAAAGCTTGCCATTATATTCAATCTAGGTTTGAAAATACAAAAATGGACAGTGAGCTTAAATAATTACTATAGGGCTTCCTGTGAAAAAGCCGAAGTGTAAAACTACCCTGCTATCATCCCACATCTTCCAAAAAGGCACTCTCTATATTTCTATGCAAGCACTGATTATCTGGCTCCAACAATGTATAAAAACTGCCTGGCCTCAGGAGACAAGAATAAGCGATTTACGGCCCTCTGAAGAAAAGAAATCCCACACAGAAGCCACTGCAGCCTCTTGTTCTTAGACTTAAAGAAGTTTGAATTTGCCCAAAGTGATACACAAACCAAAGGCTTAGCCAGGAGTTTCTGGCATGGAAACACTAAGAGCCTTGCCTTTTTGGCTAGATCAGATGTTTCTCTATCACAGGTAAACTCCACCCCTAGCTGCCTCTTATCAGAATTTCCAGAAGTGCTCCCTTATACTCCAAGCTAGTCCTGGTTGCCTGTAGAGTGGATAACCCCATCCAGTTGGTAAATGTCTACATGTGGATGGATACCACAGTAGGTTTTTTTTTTTAAACAATTATCTGCTGGAGAGTGATTTATCCATTGGATAGCATTTTTCACCCATTAAACAGCTGTGACCTGGGTGGAGAGAGGCACTAAGAATCTTCAGCACCTTCCCATAGAACACAACACAATGAATAAAACTTTCTATTTGCAGTCCAGGCTCCGGTTGTTCAAAGGGCTGATAACACTATCCAATGGATAAATCGCTATCCAGCGGATAAGTGTTACCAAAATGTACTGCGCTATCCACCGGATAGAGATTTATCCAGTGTATAACGTTATCCATCCTTTGAACAACTGGGGCCAGAGTGGTAATAGTACACAGCACTTCTAAAACTATCTCCACAGAGACAGCCAATTCATATCAAGATTAGAAATTAACACCAGTCTTTAATTCTACTTTCTGTAAAAACAACGCAATGTTTCCCTACTTATCAAATTCTATACAAGGTTGTGCCTGAGGTTGTTTGTATTTGTTTATCACTCAATTAATTCAGGTGTGTATTGTGATTATATTTTTTATAAAAGCTTTCAACAGTTGAAAACAACAGCTCTCTGAAACTGGAGCCACCAGATATTTGGTTATTTCTCTGACATACATACCTCCTTTCTGTATGTTTCCTCTGATCACCAGCCATATAAGACAATAGAGAAAATAATTTAATTATGAACACTTCAAATGATAATTCTTGGTATTACTCCCAGCCTTGTGAATTATTTGTTATCTTGTCCTGGCCTTGTGAATTATTTGCTCTGATAACAACATTGGATCAATGTTGGTATCAGAGCAACTGCCTTACCTACCCCTCCCTTTACTTCCATGAGTGACCGAGACAGAATTTCTCCTTACAATATCAATACAATAATATATAGATTTAGCCAAGCCTAAAAGCGGAGCTCCCAAGTTTGTAATATTAATGATAACATAAAAGATGTGCATTTGCCGAGACTCGCCTAAGACACCCGTCCCTTCATTTTGATAGTCTCCCCTACACTACCCGTACAATCCAAAGGCAGGTATGTACATACATATGCTTGGTCAGTCACATGACAACCAAACGAAAAGAGGTTGACCATATTCCATGGGTATGGGGCTCTGCCACATGCGTGTGGGAACCCCGTTATAAAGCAGACAAGTGATGAGAATTAAGAAAATTATGAAGTTAGGGAATATTAGTTGATCCAATACCAAAATCTCGGAAGTGACATCATAACAGTTGTACGGCAGACAGTGGGGAGATTCACTAATGAGATCATCGAAGTGAAAGCGTTAACTCAACAACAGTCAACTAATAACAAGTCAGGGTTAATTTTAGGTTAGGGGAGGGGTGGTTGTGTAGTTGCTTAGATATCAACATTGAACCAATAATTTTCCATAATCCAACCTACCTAATGTGGGGTCATAGTACTAGAAGGGAAAAAAAAAAAGTTAACAGTTAGCTTTACTTGTATTGCCATGTAATCTCAAAAATTAATGAATAAATTTAATGAAAAAACATGTAATTCTTTTTTCTTCGTTTAGCTTCAGTTGGCTTTATTGCATTCTCCTCTTTGCAAGGTACAAATGTACAACCAGCCTATTGCTAATGCAAAGTAGTAATAAATGTTGGGAACAACAATTTCAATGCTAACCATCTGTGATCCATTACTGAACAGCTGCACAGCGACATGGAATCTATTTGTTATGTGGAAGGGGGCATAGATTGTTTCTTGAACAAGAAGCAAAAGGTATGCATTTTTCAGTGGCACACTATCTAAGTTACATTTCAACATTCATCTAATTCTCAGCCATTCCAAGATTGGTAGAAAGTGATAAATCACATTGAAATTCCTACCTCAGTGAACTCATTCTTCAGGTAACGAATGGTCAAAGAGCTTTTGCCCACGCCCCCACTTCCAACAACACACAGGCGAAACATGTCTGTGTGCGCTTCCCTTGATTGCCTGACTAAGGCTCCTTTCCATCCACAGCTGAAAGGATGTTAATAAAATACAGAGAAATGTATTAAGTACCCGAAACCCAGAAATTACAGCCAGCTATTTGGAAAAATATCTACTAAATTTCAGCTTTTGACAAGCAGGCATTTGACCTGGTTGGTCACTCTAACAGTGAATATCTGATACAATGTAAAACTATATAATTTGGAGTATACAGCCACAAAATGGAAAATATTGGTTTTAGATCCAATTCACAGGAACAGTTTGTTACGTCATGCTTTGCATTTTTTTCATCCACAACTGGCCAGCTGGGAATTTTTTAACAGCAATGCTTTTTCTATGTGCTTGCAGTACTGTAAGAGATTTGTTGTTTACTTGGAATATTTTTCAATATTAAAAGCACAGTTACACTGCTAAAGAAGGTCTTGTCTTCAATGATATATCTTTAATTGAGGGACAAGACAAAGGGATCAGAACCAAGTTACAATTCCTAGGCTTTAGGTGAAAATGTTTGGCTCTGTTATGTTGTGTACAAGTTAGTAAAATGCCCAATGTAAAATTTTAAAAATCAACAAGAAATTATGCTACAATTTGAAATATCGTGGGTCAAGGCTCTCCAATGAACACAGATTTTAGGTCACAAAGGGTACAACTGGGTGTCTTCATATGTCTACCCAGTAGAAGTGTCTGCTAATTTAAAGTTCTCTTTTCAATGTGGGTACAAGAAGACAAAGTTGAAACTTGGGTTGCTGCCCACTTAACCATTTCACTCCCAAGATCTTGTTACTAATTCTTCTTACTGCCTATCATACAGATCTTATGATTTTAGTTTGAAGAATTTGGATTTGGTATTATAACATAACCAAAGTAAAGCGCGCACTATGATTGGTCAATTTAGCATCCCCCATTTGCCCATGGGTGTACGCTGCTGATGTGAGCAAATGCAAAGACTATTTTTCCGCGTGCGCTTGTTTTTTCTGGTCATGTAAGATTTGTTAAATAAAAGGGAACTCTTTAGCTACAATGTATCAATGTTGCATTATAAAACAAATGGTAAATGCCACAGCGTACACTATTGAGTTATGGATGCACTTGGGAGGTTTGCTAAGCACTCAAGAAGCTAGAGTCGCTC